GCTCCTGAGGGACTGCACCCTGTGGAAATTATGGACCCATGCTGGAGCAGTTTGTGAAGAACTGTAGCCTGTGGGAAGGACTCAGTTGGAGAAGTTCGTGGAGGACTGTCTGCCGTGAGAGGGACCCCACGCATGAGCAGGGGAAGAGTCCTCTCCCAAGGAAGAAGCGGCAGAGACAACGTTCCTGTCCCCCTGTGCTGCTGGGGGGGAGTAGGTAGAGAAAATTGGGAGTGAAGTTGAGCCCAGGAAGAAGGGAGGGGTGTGAGGGGGAAGGTGTTTTAAGATTCAGCAGGTTTTATCCTCTCCTTCTCTGATTTTGATTGATAATAAATTAAATGAATTTCATCAAGTTGAGTCTGTTTTGCCCGTGATGGTAACTGGTGAATGATCTCTCCCTGTCCTTATCTCGACCCACGAGCCCTTTGATTTACTTTTCTCTCCTCTGTCCGGTTAAAGAGGGAAGTGATAGAGTGGCTTTGGTGGGCCCTTGGTGTCCAGCCAAGGTCAACCCACCACACACTGTCATCCAGAGCCTCCTCTCAAACTGCAATATCTGTTAGAACTGCTCTGTCAATGTGGCTTGGATGCTGTGACTGCACAGTTGTTGCCATTTCAGACCCAGGTGAGGTCACATCCATGCACAAAGATGTGCTGAACCATCTCAGATGATTGCTTAGTGATGAGGACCCAGAGCCCTGCTTGCACACATGTTCACCCTTTACTGAGAAGTGTGATGGTTGTTGTCTGTTGGGTGTCTTCAAGTTTTAGCCCTGAGCAGAAGCGTTGGAGAGTAAAGTTGAGCAAAGTTAACCAACCTCCCATAGCACTGGTGCATCACAGGCTGTTGCAGCAGGGCCAGGATAATCCAGGATCATCTCCTGAAGTTGCCTGGAAGAACCCAATCTGTATTTAAGCTGGTTTTGATCTAGTTTGTTGGTAGGGCAAATCACCTGCTCTTCCCATACCATTGGCCACTATGTGAAGACAGTGAGAGATCACCCATGAGATGTGCCCTCCTGGGACTATTTAGCCCAGTCTTGTACCTTCAGTGGTGGAAAGGGGAGGTTATGCTGGGACAGCACACAGGCCCAACCTCTTTCCTTGCGGGTCCTTAGGCTAGTTGTTTTAGGCCATTTATTATGTACAAAAGTTGTCTCCATATCCCAACCTGTAAAACTTCTACTATAATGATAGGCTCTGGTATGTAAATACTCTCATATTTGTTGCAGATTGGCCTGATGACAACCTTGATAACTACCGTGGTGACCATGTCATCGATAGCACAGCTTTGGGATGACGAGTGGGAGATGGTATTTATTTCACTGCAAGTAAGTTGTCTGCAGGGATGCTTCTCTGGGTTGGGAAAGGGGCCAGTGCAGCTACTAGTCATGGACTTTGTGTCTTCCTACTGTATGAAACCCTGTCTTGATGTTTTATCACTCCCAAAATTGAAATATTGGCAATGAGAAAATTTGCAGCAAAACTCCACTGGGGTCCTCAAGACCACCACATCACTTTGTCTCCACCTCCTGGGCTCTTTCCTTTAAACTCAAACCAGGGCTTGGCTGCAGAGTTAGAGGTGGAAAATACTGAGGCTGAGTGTGACTCAGAGTTGCCGGAAGGAGAGGGCAATTCCTTTGCTTAGTTTGGCTAGCAATGCTCAGGAGGTTGGTATCCAGGCCTGGAGCACCATGCTCTTCCCAGTCCGATGGGAGGAGCATTCTGGGTTTGTTTTTACATTGTGCATAAATTTATACGTATCTAAAAAAGAATGGGACTTCTGTGCTCTAGCCCTGTTTTAAGAAAAACTTGTGGTATGGGGTCCCTTCCAACCCCAAACATTCTGTGATTCTGTGATTCTGTGCTGCAGGGCTATGTAAGTGTTAGAGGAAAGTAGTCACAAACTGTTAATTTCTTGATAGACCGGCTCTCTGTTCCTTTTTTCCCCTCTCACTCAAAAAGGGGTCAAAAAATATTTTGCTCATGAAAGGCTTGAGAGGTTTTACTGGTGATGACTGCTGTATATTTGGGAATACGCAAACATACGCAAATACGGGGAGAGGGGGAAATAGCATTCACACAAGTGACTAACATTTCTGAGAAATGCTTCCCTTTTCTTGTTTTTTAAAAATTTAGGCAAGCTACTGAAGAACAAAAACATGACTCAGAGGATCCATCTCACTTTCTTCTGTAGTGATACACCAGGTTGATACATGGTCCAGAGTGTTCATAGAATCATAGAACATTTTGGGCTGGAAGGGACCTTTAAAGCTCATCCAGTCCAACCCCCCTGCCATGAGCAGGGACACCTCCAACTGGATCAGGTTCCCCAGAGCCCTGTCCAACCTGACCTGGAATGTGTCCAGGGATTGGGGCGTCTACCACTTCTCCAGGCTGAGCAACCCCAACTCTCCCAGCCTTTCCCCAACGCAGAGGAGTTCCAGCCCTCTGACCATTCCTGTGGCCTCCTCTGGCCCCGCTCCAGCAGGTCTCTGTCTGTCCTGCACTGGGGACCCCCAAGCTGGACGCAGGGCTCCGGGGGGGTCTCACCAGAGCAGAGCAGAGGGGCAGAATCCCCTCCCTCGCCCCGCTGGCCACACTGCTGGGGATGAAGCCCAGGGCACAGTTGCCTTTCTGGGCTGCCAGCGCACATGGCCAGCTCATGGCCAGCTTTTCATCCCCTGGTACCCTCAAGCCCTTTTCTGCAGGGCTGCTCTCAATCCCTTCATCCCCCATCCTGTATGGATACCGGGGGTTGCCCCACCCAGGTGCAGGACCCTGCACTTGACCGCCTTGAACCTCATGAGGTTCACTTGTGCCCACTTCTTGAGCTTGTCCACGTCCCTCTGGATGCCATCCCATCCCTCAGGTGTGTCAACCACACCACTCAGCTTGGTGTCATCTGCAAACTTGCTGAGGATGCACTTGATCACACTGTCTATGATGTCATTGATGAAGATATTAAATGGTACTGGTCCCAATACGTGTGAGTGCCAAAGGTAATGGTAGGGTTTTGAAGAAGAGATGACCAAAACAATGCAGGAGCCTGATGTAGGAATGGTATGAAATCCAACTGGATTTTTTTTTTGGACCTATGCACTATGGAGCCTGCAAGATCAATGAATCTGCAAGTTTCTGGGGTGTTTGTCATCACTTTTTCTTTCCTGTTCTTATGTCTTGCAGGCCACAGCCCCTTTCTTGCACATAGGAGCACTTGCAGCGGTCACGGCCCTGTCATGGTTGATAGCGGGGCAGTTTGCACGAACGGAGAAAGCCAGTGAGTACCACTCGTGTCCTTGTGTGGTGGTCAGGGGCTGGTGGGTGGCTGTTGGGGCGTTGGGTCCTCCCCTTGGGAACCACCTGGCAGGAGGCAGTGCTGGTTCCTTCCCTGGGCTCAGCAGCCTCCAGCTCAGCCATGCTGGGGAGATGGATGCTCTCCTAGAGTAACATGGCTGAAACTGGAGTGGGGGAACCTGGTCTGTGGATGCATCCAGATCCCCTGGCTGTTGCTTTGTGGTGGGAAGTGCACCAGGGTTGGAGGTGAAAGGGCTGGTTTCAGTGATGCAATGAATGAAAACCTCCAGCTTTCCATCAGTCTGCTTTAGAAAACATAAATGCACCCTCTGCAGCTAACTTGCAGTGTTCTTCTTTGGATCTTATAGGCCCTTCTCCCTTCCCCCATCTCCTTGGCTCTTGTTCACCCACATTTCTAGATGGATCTGGCTTTTGAAAGCCTCCATGATGGGCGCGTTGCTTGTGATGCAGTAGCACCCAGAGGGCTCAGTAGAGATCTGATCCCCCAGTGGTTAGATGCTTCCTTAAATGCATGTTGAGAACACTGTCCAAGGTCTAAGGGAGCAGAGTGGTGAAGGACATGCTGAACCCAGCTCTTCTTTGTGATGGTGCTGTTGGTGGAAGTAAACTTTTCTGGGCATCTTCCCTGTCCCATCTCGTTGCCAGAGCCTGAGCTGTTCCTCCAGGTTTTCTTGTGAACTAATTTGATCCTTCTGTGCCCTCAGAAGTGTTTTTCTTCAGGGCGTCCATGGATGTTCTCAGACATTTGTGCCAGCTCCAGAAAAATTATTTTCATTGGTATTTAACCTGAAGCAAAATACAAACCCTGTAAGGATTTGGCAACACTCGTGAAAGACTTCCAAGAAGTGGGAGTTAAGAATGAGGAAACGGTGTCTGAAGATGGGAAGATTTTGATATTCAGAGAGACCTTTCAAAGAAAGAATTGCTCTGCCTTAATTTTTAAACATGCCAATAAAGCCGTACCTGGTTCTTCTTAAATATGTCCTAGCATGTAATTAGGCTGCCAGTTGAGGGAGGATTTGTGGTTACGCCTGGAGCAGGCTGCATGTCTTCTGAATTCCTCATACTTTTTCTTTTGCAGCTGAGTTCCCTGAAAATGGCTTTTTTTTTGTTTGTTTTTAATAAGCCAGGAAGCTGCTTTCCTTCTCCTTTTCTGCTCCCGGGTTGGGGTTTTTGGTTTGTTTCTTTTTAAGGATAAACATTCATCTTTCATTTGATCTTCAAGTTATTTCAGGGTCATTTTACTTATGAAAGGTATCTCACCTGGAGGAGTTGACAGACTTTTTGGTACAGATTCGTTTGATCTGGTGGTGTTAAAAAAGGAAGAGAAGAACTGAAATCTCTGTGAGAACCTACAGTCGCTTCTAATGGGAAAATAAGATTTCACTCACTAATAATAATCCTTTGGAAATAACTGATGCAGCTGCAGTCATTGGTGCAACAGCCTGTTCTTGTCGGTTTTGAGGCATGTGACCATCTTCAGCAACTGGCTTTTTTACTGAGCGAATTTACACTTTTAAATTTTTTTTTCCTCCTATGCTACTTTTTCCAAACCTGGAGAATAGAAGATGACACCAAATTGAGTGGTGAGGTAGACACTCTGGAAGGGAGAGCCACCCTGCAGGAAGATCTGGAGACACTGGAGGAGTGGGCTAACAAGAACCTTATGAAGTTCAACATGGACAAGTGTAAGGTCTTGCACCTGGGAAAACACAATCCAGGAGTGCAGCACAGGCTGGAACCACCTGGCTGGGGAGCAGCTCTGTGGGAAGGGACCTGGGGGTCCTGGTGGCCAACAAGCTCCAGAGAGGCTGGAGGGGGTTCAGAGCAGGGCCACCAAGGTGATCCAAGGGCTGGGAAGCCTCTCTCAGCCATATGGGGATGGGCTGAGAGAGCTGGGTTTGTTCAGCCTGGAGCAAAGGAGGCTCAGAGGGGATCTCATCACCACGTACCAGTACCTAAGGGGTGGCTACAAAGAAGTTGGAGACACGCTTTTTACAAGGAGTCTCATGGAAAAGACGAGGGGGAATGGGTACAGGTTAATCCTGAGAAGATTCTGATTGGACATGAGAGGGAAATTTTTCCCCATGAGAAGAGTCCCCCATTGCAATAATCTCCCCAGAGGAGGGGTTGACTCTGCCACATTGGACACTTTCAAGCCTCAGCTGGACAGGGTGCTGGGCCATCTTGTCTGGACTGGACTCTTGCCTGGAACAGTTGGAGCAGATGATCCTTGAGGTCCCTTCCAACCTAGGATTCTATGAGAAGTTTCTTGAATAGCTACAGTGTTTTAAAAGGTAGTATTTTGTTTTCAAAGCTTACTTCTGAGGTCAGATAGAAAACATTGGACTCAAAGCAGCCCTGGAAGCCTTGAGTAGCAAACAGCAGTGTGAGAATCATGCTCTTCCAGGAGCCCAAACTGGGCTGGAGTGGTCACTAGGAGCAGGAGGAATGGAGAAGGAAGGCTTGCATCTGAATGTTGTCATTGGTGGTGCCATGTTGTAGAAAGTGAGAGATAAATCTGTCCTGTTTGCTTGAATTGGGTGGTCACCATGAGAACTTCCATACAGACCATCCAACCTCAAACTGAACAGTATGTACTTTGTATTTCATTTTGGGTCTTTTGTGTGTGGTCTCAGTTCCCACATGTGTATGGCTGGGTGAGGTCTTCAGCTCCATTTTAATGTGGTCTGTGAACCATGCTGCGACCAACTTTCCTTGTGGGTGCAGTCCAATGATAAAAATATTTGAAAGTCCATGCATGTCATGTGGTGCTTGCCTTTAGTCTGAATCTGAGCTGTTTAATCCCTAAACTCTGCAGTACCAGGAAGGAAGGGACCAGATTCTTTGCACAGCCTGAGACTTTGCTGACAATTAGGCTGATTTTTCAAAGCCTGGTAGGTGTGTGGTGTTCCTGGAGAGAGCAAGAATTGGGTCAGGATCATGTCCTGTGTCCGTCTAGAGGTTTTGGTGCTGGTGACGCACAGCTTCAGGACACCGTGCCTTTATGGTGCAGGACACCGCATGGACTCGCTTAGCGAGATGCCATTCAGTTCCTTGAATGCTCTGTGGGTGATGGACATCTCTTCCAGAGAGGAGGACAAATTATGTGGCAAAGTTACTAGTGTTACTTTCTGGATTGTAGGAACGTGTTTGACTGAGGCCATTAGATGCTGGAAGCACAAAGCAGTATATTTACGTGTGAAACCAGATCAGTTGTGGCCAAAACTAGAGCTGGGCTGTTCTGTCCTTCCCATAAAGAAAAAAAAAAGAAGCCTTCTCCATCTTGTGTCCATGGCAAATATTTGTTTTAAAGGGGTTTTTTGAAGGTTGTCCCTTGAGTTCCAAAGCCTTAATGAGTTTGAAGTATAAATAATAATAATAGTAATAAAGAAGTCTTATGCCTTAATATCTGCGGTTTCAAGTGACTCCAAATAGCTCAGGAGTTCAAAGGTGCCTGTTGTTCTTTATAAGGAATCCCTGTCTCTCGGGAACAAGGGGTGTTTCTGTTGCACTGTCAGCACCTTCAAAAGATTCCCAGATACTTTGGACTTTGTGAGAAATCACCAGTAGTTGGAGCCGGGCGGCTGAGGTGCGACATGGGAGGCAGGACTACTCATCTCCCCTGGGCTGCATCCCCAGCAGCGTGGCCAGCGGGGCGAGAGAGGGGATTCTGCCCCTCTGCTCAGCTCTGGTGAGACCCCCCCGGAGCCCTGCGTCCAGCTTGGGGGTCCCCAGCGCAGGACAGACAGGGACCTGTTGGAGTGGGGCCAGAGGAGGCCACAGGAATGGTCCGAGGGCTGGAACCCCTCTGTGATGGGGAAAGGCTGGGAGAGTTGGGGGTGTTCAGCCTGGAGAAGAGGAGGCTGCGGGCAGAGCTGAGTGTGGCCGGTCAGGGCTTCAAGGGGGCTGGTAAGAAAGGTGGGGATGGACTTTTTAGCAGGGCCAGCTGTGACAGGACAAGGGGTAATGGTTTTAAACTAAACCGGGGTGTGTTTAGACTGGATCTAAGGAAGAAATTCTTTCCAGTGAGGGTGGTGAAACCCTGGCAGGGGTTGGCCAGAGAGGGGGTGGAGGCCCCATCCCTGGGAACATTCCAGGCCAGGTTGGACGGGGCTGTGAGCAACCTGATGTGGTTCAAGGTGTCCCTGCTCCTGCAGGGGGGTTGGGCTGGGTGACCTCTAAAGGTCCCTTCCAACCCAAAACATTCTGTTATTCTATGATCTGGCCCCAGGTGCTGCAGCCAGCACCCTCTCCTGCATTTGCCGGTCCTGTAATATTGCTGCTTGCAGAGACCCCAGGGAGCGCAGCACCATCACAACCCAAGGATTTATTTAAACATTTCCAACTTAACCAGTAAAACATTATTGCAAATTAACTCAGTCCTGGCTGGCACAAATGTTAATGCAGAAGCAGTTAAAGTGGTGTTACCCTGGCTGAAATGGGTGGCGTTGGTGAACCACCAGCATAAACACAAGTGATGTAAACCCAAGTGATATTATATACACTGACATGGTGCCATGATTTATTTGTAGATATGTTTAACTTGTGATCTATTTCTGCTGACAGGCAGGGCAAAATTTGGTGCTGTCCCATCCAAAGGGATGGAAATTGGTGGTGTTTTGGGCTACATTACTGGGACTTTAAACAATTTGCTTAACTTTTTTTTTCCCATTACATAATGAAGTGAAAACCTCCCTCAGGATTTGATTAGCTCAGAGAATTTTTTTTAATTCTTTTTTTAAATAGAATATTTTTTTTCCTAAACACAGGGCTCTGCTGTTGTGATAGGGGCAATGGCTGTAGACCAGCCTCTCCTCTGGAGGAAGATGAAGGTATCTTGGCTTTGCTCCTGTGGTATGGGGAGGTCAGGACCAGCATTTTCACCAGCTCTTTCTCTCTCTTTCTGTCTCAGCTTCTCAGATGCTGATGTTCACTGCATACCTCGCAGTTGTAGTTGCACTTTACCTCGTCCCCCTCACCATCTCGTCCCCTTGCATAATGGAGAAGGCGGCGCTGGGACCAAAGCCAGCCATTATAGGTCACCGCGGAGCACCGATGGTGAGTAGTCGCACGTTATTCGCACCGTGTTGTCTGACTCTTCTGCCTGTGTAAAGGATGGTACTGGATTTGGTGGTCTCCAGGCTGTTCTCCAGAGAATACACATGACAAATATAACTTCAAGGCCCCCCTCCTGGCTAGAATTGCTGTGGTGGTAAGGCGGTACATAAACCCAGAGTCAAGTCATGCCTCAGATGTTCTGGATGCCTTACAAACAAAAGGGCAATCCTTGACTTGCTCAGGGTGGTTTGTGCCATTACATTTTTCTGGCTGCTAGTTCTGCTGTTTTTACTCTCCAGGCTTGGCCCTTCAGCTGCAGCTGTAGAAGTCTGTGATTTTATTTTTTTTTTTTAGAGCTTGAGGCTCAGTCTTCATGTCCTCAGCTCACAGCAAGATGCCTTGAGTATGTGGCAATCTGTAAAAAGGAACAAACAAACAAGCTGTGCTGACCCTACATGACTGCACGGTACTCTTGCGTTGCAGATCATCATGAGACTGGGTGAGGTGGTGAAATGTTCCTGTCATCTGCCTCTGGGTAGACCTTGGAATCATAATCATATAGTCCTTTCTTCTCCAAGGTTTCTGGACATATCCAGGCTAAAGATGGAGCATATTTGCTTGGGCACAGTCCTGGGCTTGGATAAAGCTGTCCTGTGGTGTTTGGTCATACTGGTCTGGGTCTCTGGTTTGGGTGCTTCTGTAACCTACATCTGTTGAACGGTTGCACCTTCATCTCTTTCTGCTGGTTGATTGACTTCAGACAGGGTAGCATACTGCAGTGTAGGAACTGGCCTTGTAAATGGTTGGTTGTTTTTTTTTTGCTTTTGGTTTTCTTTTAAGGCATCCAACTAACTTTTTTGCTGACATTCAAAGCAGAAAAAATATCTGTATGGGCAGTCACAAACTGTTTGGTAGGCTGGAGTGTGCTTGAGCTCCTCTCCAAATTCAAGAGCGTGCGCTAGGAGTTTGCTAGGTGAGATAAACGCCTGTCATGACGCAGAATTATTTTATTTTAGTTCTCTCTATTTTTAATGATGTCTTTCTTTAAGCAATTCCTTGAAATGCCAGCTTAATTTGCGTCACTCTTTTAACTATATTGCCTCTGTGGGTGGTGGAATGAAGTTCTAGGCATGATAAATGTTTTTCCCTGTCCCACTGAGTTTGTACCAACCATGAAGGCCAGAAGCAGACAAGTGAGAACCTGGGCTCTGCATGGCAGGAAATCGCAAAACCAGTTAGGAAATTTTCTTCCTGCAGGGTTTCCAGGCCTGTGTGCCCCCCATAGCCTTATAAAGAAATGAGATAGCAAAGTCCTTCTATCTTCCAGATAGTTTACATAAGCCTTATCTGGAGCAAGACTCCCAGCAGAGACTTGGCCCTTTGCTTTGCGTCATGTTCTTCCTTGGAGCCAGCAAACACTCCTTGCAGAATGTAATAAACCTATCTGGGAAGATGCTGCTTGCACATTAGGGTGCAGAGGGCTGCAAAGATCGATCAGGAGCAGTGGTGGAGGGACACTTAGTGCCGCGTGTGGAACTGTGGCCCAGGTGTTGTTCAGCATGCATCCCTCCCCTCCACCATTCCCTGGTACACAGAGCTCGTTGTCTGTTAGCAGCAGATGGTTTGCTCTGAAGCCCGCAAGAAGCAAGATCAGAGACTAGCAAGCCTTGTTTCAACCTCCAAGCAATAGTCTGCATGTCCCACGATGAATTGGCAGTAGGTTTATCCAACAGCTTTGCCTTTACTGTATGCGTCAGTGCCCTCTGACTGTGCCCTCGCATGGCAAAGCTGAGATGGGATAAAAAAGATGAGGAACAGAGCAAGGGGGTTAAAACTTCCTCTGTACTTCCACCTATGCCCAGCTTTTCGCTATATCAAATGCCACCTTGAGTTTGAAGAGCTCCACCTACAGTGCAAGTCCTCAGGTTGTACTAAGTCATATCTGCTTGGAAACTAATGATTCTAAAGCCTTGCCGGAAGGTGTTTCTGCTAATAGGGTCTTGTTTCATGGTGCTGCTTGCTATGCTTTTGCTGTTGAGCCCAACTGTATGTAGATTTAGTTTGAAGAAATGGCCAAGTGGAGCTGGAGAGGAGGAAACAGCTCAGAGAAGAGTCTGGAGATTGGGCTGTAGGACACAGACATCCTCCCTTGGGCAATGTCAAGATCAAAAGTCTGCAGAGCCTGGGAGTTTGGGACCTGAGGTGAAACTAGATCTAGTGGGACTAGATAAAAAGCAATGATAAAAAGCAATGCAATGTTTGCCTTCAAATCTCCTGAAGCAAGATAAATGTGATTTGCTATGCAGACAAATGTGCTCTCTGACAGAGCCGCGTAGCTGGTTGCTTTGCCTGTCTGGCAGGACCGGGTCCATAACATTGCATTTGCACGTCCAACGTTCTTATATTAGAAACACGCAAATACAACTGAGTGCTCTTCTGATGAAAGCCAGCAAAGGAGATCCATGGGATGGCTGAAGACGCCTGTTGTCCTGAAATAAAGGATTTGCTGGGGACATGGCAGATGGTATATGGGGCAAAAGATGGTGTAGGAAGGAAAGCTGTAGAAGTTGTGCACTTCCTAAGGGATACTGATCCATCAGTGCCTGCAGCCTGCTCCTCAGACAGGGGCAACGATCTTCCTTTGCGCTCCAGAGCCTGCTTTCCTCTGTGCATGCACACCCCCTGTCTCTCTTCTCTTGTCCCTGTAGGATTTTTAAGAGCAGCATTCATAGCATCTGTGTGAGTGTGACTCAACTGCTGTCCTTGTTCAGTGGAGGAAAAGTGAGGAACAGAGGCCATATGGCTCATATAATTTGTCTTGAAACACTGGAGGAGGGAAAAAGTCCTTGCATTTTAAGTAGCAAGAGAAAATCAGAAACCATCCTGACATCTGTACCTCAATGAAGTGTGTACAGGAGAGCTGCTGGTTCCACACTGGCTGTCCATTTGCCTGTGGTGGTAGTGCTCCTCCAAGCAACATCCCTTTGGTATCATCCTGTTCCCCCTGAGCTTTAATTCCCTGCTAGAAAGGCTCTTCTGCATGACTCCTTCTACCTTCCCTTGCCTAAATGTCATCTAGTCATGCCCACCTTTTGCTGTGCTAAATGTCCGTTCCCATCAGGGTGCTATCTGAAAACCCTTTCTCTTAGCAGGTGTTCAGTTAATCAGTCAGTTTCTTTTCAAAGGCTCTTTTAAAATGCATTATTCATCCTCCAGACCTGTTTCTGTCCTTCTGGACTCCCATCAGGAGAGCATCAGGGTTGCGGCAGCAATGTGCTGCGAGTTGAGGGCTCCAGCCCTCACTTGACATCTGTTGGCTTGAAAGGGTCTTGTCCTGATGGGTACAGGGATTGTCTGACACCTCAGAACACGAGATAATATTTTTGTTAGTATGATAAACTTTTCAGATGGTTTTATGAGCAGGTGCCTGTTGTCTTTCATCTTCCATCTTTTTTTATTCTTCTCACAGAAATCTAGTTGTATTTTGTCTTCAATGGCAATAGACTTGACTGTCTTCTCCCTGTGATGGTAAATATGCCGCTTATGCTGAGGATAAGGCAAAACAAGGGTAGAAGGTAAAGGCTGGGACCAAATCTGAGATGGAAATGAGGAACTTCATCCAGTAGGACAGCAACTTCTACTGCCATTTGCACATTTAAAGTCTTGTTCCACATGTCTTTCCTTGGATGGTGCTTCAGATTGAGGCAGTTTGTCTTTGCTTTTGGGATCTGAAGAAGGTGCTGTCCATAATGTTTGAATCCTTCTTGCTTTTAGGTGGCTAGTCCTAAATATATATTTCTTATAAAAATAATTAGGCTCATCGTGATGATCTTTGATCTCAAATTGTAGGTAAATCACCCAAAGGATTAATAGCAAGGACTTATCTGAGCAAGAGCTCCTTGGAAACCTTCATGAAGCCTGGAAGCTCACCTCCCATTACTGGGACCAAAAAGGTACTGGTTGGTCTAAAAACAATCAGGCTAAACCTGTGGAGACCATCCAAGCATGTCGAAAAAGGTACTGGTTGGTCTAAAAACAATCAGGCGGAGACCATCCTGTGGAGACCATCCAAGCATGTCAGAGGCAAGAAGAGCTCTTGATTTCAGAGCTGGAGGCTACAAATAGCATCGAAAGAAACACTTTTGGCAAACCACCCGTACAGCTGGTTTTTGGCGTGTCATAACAGCGCTGAGAAAGATGTGCCAAAACAGCTGTCTGCGTGCCATGAAGCATGCGGCGCTCATGCCGTCAAGCTTCTTCCTGCATGGCAGACGGTGTCCATCTCCTTGCTGAGTGCAGGCACCATGCCGGGAGGAACATTTTTTGACAGTGCTGACTATTGGCTTTGCACAACTCCAGAGTGGAAAAATACCCATTGCTGGGACAAAGTTCTTTGGTGAGCAGCCAATGGTTAATTACGCTTAGGATTTGCCTGTTGGGTTACTGCATGGGAATGCTTTGCCTCGACAGGGAGCATATCATGCTGTTTCCAGGAAAATTCCAGCAAATATGGCCTTGCACATGTGGAGGTTGTTGTTTTAGGTTATTTTTTGTGGAGGTGAAGCCTCCAATACACGTTGACATTCTCACAGAGATTCCGTCTTGTCATCTTGTGGTGCCAACTGTTGATAGAAACACTAATGAAGACTTCTGGTTGGGGTTGTGGCTTATTGGAGAGTTTTCAGTTAATGGAGAAGAAGTGGTGACATCTTTTCGTTGCTTTGTGGTTTTTGTGTTGTTGTTGGTTTTCAGGGCCTTTATTTAATCTTATTTTGGGTACCAAAACTTTGCCACCACCTATTTGGGATGGCTTTGGTTTTTTAAAGGCTCTGAAGTGCTTTGGTCTGTACTGCTTGTGCTGCTGTAATCAAAGACACATTTGGGTTGCTGTAGGTCTTATGCACACCCACCGATTGAAAATATGGCCAGTTAACCTGTCTGCTGGTCCCACGGTTAGTAACAAACAATCACAATTAGCGTCTTCTGTCAGACCTGGAGAG